TTCTGATCAGTTACGTCTTGAGATGCTAACCAAACCAAGACTTGTGTTGAAGCTAAATGATATTCAAATCCTATTTCTGCAGGTTCGAGTTTATAAGTCAATAAACACGCTTGTGCTTCACTTTGAACTTGGAATAAAGCGTCTCCAAGATCTTTGAAGATATCAAATAAACTATTCCGGTTATAAATTGGACTTGAACAGAGCCTAGTCACTGCAGTCCGTTGGACGTCTTTGCTTTGAGACACGAACCATTTTCTCGATTCCAAAGTTATCGGTTCTTTCAAAAACATTTGAGTTTCAATACACAAACTCATACCTGATTGAACTTTCTGAGAAAATGCGATTGATGCATTGAAATATGTGAAAGTATTTTTGAAGAATTGGGCGTCGAATCGTGAATCAAGACAAATAGCATGAATTGCTGTAACTTGTGTGGCTTCACTTTGTGACGCAAACCATAGAAACCCTTTGGGAGTGAAGGGATCCCAATAAAATACTCGCGACGGTGAAATGTTTGTGTTGAGAAAGTATTCTGCTGCGGAACCATTGGAGCGCTGATTAATACAATCAATCATTTTGTATTGCGCTTGAATAGGCAGATAGAAGGTTGCGTTCAAGTTCAAGTATGTTGACATGAGAGATTTAAGTGGTATGTCTTTTCTACACAGCTGGGAAACTACTTGGGTTTGTGTTTCGGGTGATTGAGAAGTGTACCACCAGACCATAGAATCGGTCAGATTTGGAATATACTTGGTGAGAATAGATCCAACGTTGGAAAGGAACGCCGTTGTGTTCATTGTGTATGAATGGAGTCAAGACAATGGTCACATAATTATAGTAATTAATCCCACCAGCAAAAAACTTTTTCGTTTAAACAAAGTGTTTGCAGTTGGAGGTACTCTGTATTGTAACGTATTAATAAACAAAGATTCCTGAACGCGATTCTTTATCATGGATCTTTAAGTTTTCATTTGTACAAAGATTTACATTGTCATTAGCCACAAAGTAAATTTGCATGTACTTTTGAGTGCATTATAATGAAACAAGAAATATCTGAATGTATTCCACAAACACTCCGCTGAAAACTAAATTAAATCATTTCTTTGAAGAGCTAAATGGCGATGGGCTCCTCTTCCTTTTCTTGCCGTCCTCCCCATCCACACCACCATCACTGGAATCTTCATCTTCTTCCAGATCGCCCATAGCACCTTCAATCTCAGCCCAAACATCGAAATCGTCATCGTCCTTCTCGACTGCTTCTCCTTCATTCTCATCCTCATCGCTGCTATCCATCTCAGCTTCAATTTCAGCATCCATCGCGCTCCAATCAATGCCCCCGATATTAACTTGTTCGTCAACTTCGTCGTCAAGGGATTCAGACTGGTCTGCACTGCTTCCCATCGGCGTTTGGGTCGATGATGCGTTTGCCGACGTCGGGCGAGATTTCTCCTTGACGAGGCGGTATGATTCTTCGGGGAGTCGTTTCCAAGCAATCGCAGTATGATAAAGCCTGGTTTCAAGTTAGTATTTTCAGGGTCTATGGAGATATTTGGGTGCAGCTTACCAATCTGGATGGACAACGTGGATTCCTCCCTGTTTCACTGCTTTATGGACTTTGTCTGTTCCGGCTTTTGCAGCAACGATCGTATTAGACCCAACTTCTTTGGCGACGTTACCACCGAAAATGGTTGCGAATCGATACAGATCGTGTCTGCAACGCAGTTCTCATCAATACCACTCCAAAACTTTTAGCGACACACTCACCGTCGCTGATCAAATCCAACAGGAACGACTCCACTAAGAACGACTTCACACCCTCTCAACACGCGTTTACGCAACCCGTCCATCACATCTCTAACATCACAATCTCCTTCTTCATCCAACATCCCAAAATATTCACGATGAATACGTTCAAGACGCCGCATTATTTCCTCGAGCTCTGTATCATTGTCGTGTAGGACTGGACGGTCTTTTAACGGGCGGGATACTTCTTGTCTGTGGATGGCGTGTTGCTGGATTTGAGAAAGTGTTTCTTGGAGGTGTTTTGCAGCGACTTCGGGGGTTTCTGTGAGTGCTGCTGTTTCGGTTGCGACGAGGGCGAGTATATCTTCCTTTATTTCCTGTTGTGCTTCTGGAGTAGTGGTTTCTGAGGAACTAGATGAAGCGGGTAAAATGGTAGCTGGAAGGACTCCTGTTTGTTTGAGTTGATTGGCTGCAGCTTTTCCATTTGCACCCAAAGGTTCATTGATGTCTCCGATTCCAACGAAAAAGTCGTCTGCAGCAGCCGTCAGTATATGCGCTGTCAAATATGGCTTTTTCCTTACAAGGCTTAATCCGGATCAAATTCCTACACCATCCCCACACATCCCCACGGTCATCCACAATAACGGCCATCCGTTCTCCTTCCCCAGGAAACAATCTGCTAATTTTCTTTTCTTGGAAACTTCCGCTCTCGTCACGACTCAAGATGCGATCGTTGAAGAGTCTCCGTTGAGGATCAATAATTCGGGCCACGGCTTCGGCGTAGTTTCGGGTTCCCATGGTATAAATATGCAGTTCGTATAATTTGCTTGCTTTTTCGAGGAACTCAAACGTTCCTGGACGGAGTTTGATGTAATAGACAGTTGGTGCTTCGGGGAGGACGAATTGGAAGACATTCTGAGATATAATGAGTTTAGGGATTCAAACTGGAGAAAAGCAAACATTGTAGTTACCGTCAGTGCTGGAAAACTAGGGTTGTTGGTATCATTCATCCATTCACCGACTGTTGGGTCCACAGTTGCATGAATAACAGTCTGATCCAAATCCAGAATCAAAGACAGCTTTCTCTCCTTGTGAAGTCGTTCTGCTGTTTCACGTTCAAGTCGTTCGGCAGCCTCGAATGTGAATATGAGAACCACTCCTTCCACTGTTCAAAGGGAAGAGAAAGCCTATCCTCCCTTTAATTCTCTCCTTCTTTCTTTCTTTCGCGTGACAGTTTGCTGGTGCTTTTCCGTCTCTTGAGCTCCATCCAAAAAACTCATCCAACTTCAAAGCGGATATCCTCACTGCCTTTGAAGGATAAGGAGTTGTACCTTCTGCGATACTAAAATCCGTCCATCGACAGTCATGTTGATTGTGGCTGCGGCTCCTGAGTTCCCAAAGGCAGGCCTGAAGCATAGGATTAATCTAACAACAAGGATGAGGGTAGCTCTTACCCTGATACGTCTTTAGAGCACATGACACAGAGCCCTTTGAATACGACATCATGGCTGCATTCGTCTGAGGGAGCAAGGCCAGTCGACATTGGATTTCAGGGAAAGAAACAAAGAGAAATACAAATAACTATATATAGTTCATTTCGTTTACACATTCGCATTCTATTCAGATAAAGTCACACCACAAACCAGCGTGCCCTTCTCTTTTTGCCTCTTCAATCAGTATCTGCCTCAACGCGTCTGATTTTGTCAGCCTGGGGTCTGCCCACAGTTCCTTCACCACTTCAGAATGCCCATTTTTGACTGCCCAAAAGATGGAATAGTTGTCATCATCACTTGGGTTGACCCGACTGTCACTCAGCAAAAGTCTCACAATCTCGAGGAATCCATGTTCCGATGCCAATCCGATTGCATGATTCTCCCGAGCAGTAGGATCAACACGATTATCTTCTAACAAAACTCGAACGATTTCCAAGTACCCTTTCTGACACGCCATCCGAATAGGAAAGTTGTCATCCACACTTGGATCCACTTCAGGAACACGAAGCAGCAATTTCACAACCTCCAAATGGCCATTTTGTGCAGCCAACTGCAAACCAATGTTATCTTTTGCAGATGCATCAACTCTGGAATCCTGAAGCAATCGAGCCAAAACACGTGGATGCCCAATCTCAGCCGAGAATCTGGCTGCATAGTTTTCATCATCCGCAGGATCCACACGCGGATCTCTAAGCAATAACTCCACAATTTCCAAGTGCCCAAACTGAGCAGCAACGCCAATCGCCGAATTATGCACAGCCGATGGATCCACACTTGGAATAGTAAGCAACAACTCCACAACCTCCAAATGCCCATTCCGCGACGCCCACCGAATCGGCCGATTATCCTGGTTCGAAGCATCAAAGTGAAGTGGATCCTCCAACAGCGCCGTGATCACCTTCAGTGCTCTCTGAGGAGGAAGGTCCCAGCGCAGCGACCACATCAAATTCATTTCTCTGTTCCGACCGACCTCGGAAACCGCCTCCCAATCGCTGGTCAGCATAATCTCGCCATACACGGCTGTCTGGTAGTTGAGGGGCAGGGACAGCCACCCGGTGTGCTTGATGTTGGATGCCTCGAGAAAGTCCCAGAGTGAAGTGGCGCATTCAGACTGGCTTAGTTGGAAGCGGACGTGTTGGCGGGCAAAGGGGAGGCTGTGGAAGATGAATGGTGCGAGAAGTTGCTTTGATGCAAGGCCGAGGGAGAGCAAGTGCTTGTCTAGTGGCAGGTACGCAATAATGCTTTGGAGGAGTTCAGGTGGAATGGAGGCCAGTCCGACGAGAGCTTGGAGGGGATTCATCAATGATTCGTATTTGAATTACCGCCTTATCTTATTTATTACAATAAAAACATTCATTTCGGCGCAAGCCAGTATCCACATCTGTGTCAACAACGATTCAAAAATGGGAACGAAGTAATTAGTTGCGGTTTTTTAAATGCGTGCTTGTAAACCGATTGTCCAAAGAAAAGACATTTTTAAATGACACTCTATATTGGAGTTGGTTACTCGGACAGGCGATGGACGGAAGCAGTGGTACAGATGCGTGTGGAGGAATGGAATCCAGCGGTAGCGGAGGAAGCGAAGGTGGTTGGGAAAGAAAAGAATATAATATGTTAATTGCTTTCCACACTCCTCTTATAAGTTTCAAGTTCAGATCACTCCTGCCTCACACTTAACCACAAATGCAACATCGGCGTGATCCTTCTCTAAAAAGGGAGTTTCAACTCTGATTTTGAAGGTAGAAACTTGAAGGAGCGAAAAAGCGACAACGGCAGGACTTGAACCTGCGCACTCAGAGAGTAATAGATTTCTTTCTAGTCTCCCAAAGCGAGAATCATACTACTAGACCATAAGGCCATCACTTAGACAAAATGGTAAATATGGCGTGTAAAGCGATAATTATCAACAGCATAAAACAATACACAGTTCTTTATTCGTTGAAAAGAGCATATCATTCAATAAGCTCGATAGGCACATTTGAGTTAGGACCTTCATCCCTTCTCTTTTCCTCCATTTCGATTGTAAGCTCAACAACCAATTGCCAGTCTTCGTAGTATCCATCTGGTTAACACTGTTGAGAAGGTGGATTTATCCGAATCATAAGATTCAAACACACCTTTGACACATTTCTTAAACTCCCGAAGAGCACGTTCAGTTTCATTGAGATTCAAGTAGCAGTATCCAAGCAAGTGACGACCTGCGAGCGCAGATCCAGGCATAGTGATCTAATGTTTGACAGGTGATATCAGAATCAAGAATATACATGATACAACGAATCAAAACACCCATCAAGTATTCGAGATAATAATACGCACGTATTGTTGAAGACACAGTAACGCTCGGGAGTAAGCACCCAACTGGTAAAACTCCTTAGCAACCTTGTACAAATCAAACGCCTCCGCAGGTCTGTTCAATTTCCGCTGAAACCACTCAAACACTTCTTCTCTCTGCATCGAAGGCCTGAAGCTCTCATAGTCCGTGAAATCAGCCATTCTCTGTATCTGAAGTGTATTTCCAGAATCAAAGAAAAGATGTCAAGAATGCGAGGCCTCACGTTTTCGCTCGACGACATTGTGTCCCAGGCTGCCAAAACCGCAGCAACGCTTTCCGTGATTCGAGGAGGAATTGTGGATGAGGGACAGTTAGTTCAGTTGTGTGTTGGCGGGTTTGAGGGACTTGACTATGCAACCTTTGTTCGCCAAGTCAAAAGCGGCGATCGGAGTCTGTTGTTCAGTGTGCGTGTGTTTATTTAGTGTGGTGCCTGGTTGTTGGTGCTTATTGTTCTGGGTAGGACATGCAGGGGCTGTGTGCAATGCTCGACTTTGCTCTTGGTGCGAAAAGCGGAAGTGTTCTTGCCAACGACTCGTCGGTCCAATTTGCCACGTTTCTTGTTGCCGATCTTGTGTCTTCTGGAACGGATTTGGTTGGCCCAAACAGTGGTTCGTTGTGTGAATTGGGATGGATGCAATAACCTAAATTGGATCAATGGTGACAGAGACGGAGTTTCCTGCTTTCGTGAACAAGTTGGTCAAGAAGCTGCTTCTTGTTGCTGTAAAATCAAATGAGGCGAGAGAAAAGATTGTTGGTGTTGTCGGGAATTCTGTTGTTGAGTTTGTGGAGCTTGTGGGAGCATTTGGTTTGTGTTCTTCCCTTTGGTTCTCATCGTGCTCAATCATACTTGTTCCAGGCTGCGATAAGAAAACCATCTCTATTGCACATGCCGTATTTGGAGCCGTTACAGACAGCCCCGCTCAGCTTCACCGTCAGTTGAGTGCTAGACTCCTTCCTGCCGCTTCCTCTACCATTGCGAAGCTCGTGTCTGTCGAATCTTCTCCGACATTGACCAGTACTCCATCCTTGCAAGAAACCTCGGCTAGAATTTCTGAACTTGCCGCTCTTGTTTTCCACAATATTTCTGGCTTCTTCTTGAAGGATTCTGATCTCGTCAGATTAAAATCTCAAGTTGCATGGGATTCCATCTTGGACACAACCGTTAGTGTGTCATCTGGTTTTCCACAGGCCCAGCTTGAAGCATACTTGAAAGCCTCGCTTGAATCATTTGCGCATTTATCCAGCTTCTTCACGTCAGACTATGATGTTGTCGCCCCAATTCTGCCATCTCTTTTGAAGTCCGTGGCTCTTGGCAGTATTCTTGCCGGAAACTCTCGTCTCGTGTTTTCCAAAGTGAAGGAGTTTTTGGACGTGGTTGCAGCTGAACACCTTGAATACGATGCTCCAAGAACCGAGATCTCGGTCGTCGCTTTGGAAGCTCTCAGCTTGCTTGCGTTCAAGTAAGTTTTCGCGCTTTCTTCGATCATACTGAAATCAAATCACTCTGTCAGTGTTTCTGAATTGGCTGGAGAAGCTATCGAATTCTTGACCAAGTTCATTCTCAGCCCGAAATTCTGTGTTGGTAACTCGCACGTGCATATTACTGTCGTTCGTAACTGTGCTATTGCAATGTTGAAGAAATCTCTCACGGTACGGAAAGCCCGCTATTTGTGTTCGGTCGCATTTATACATTCTTATAGCTTCTCGATGATGCCGCCGTGACAAAGTCGACGCTTTACATTTTCGTGAACACACTACAATCATCATCAGTTCAAGGCGGTGCATTTGTTCACGAAGCCTGTGTTTCCGCCATCGCCGGCCTTATTTCTGCCATCAGCACCAGACAGGTACACACTGAATTGTCGCGCGAAACTTAAACTAAACAATAACTCGATAGACTGTTGAAGTAGCGGTCCCAGCCATTGTTCGAAAGATCGAAGCCTCAAACACAGATGATGCTCAAACTCGAGCAATGTGGGAAAGTTTGGAAATCGCTACATTGACGGGAAGCATTGACGTGTTGGAAGAAGCTTACCCTGTCTTGTCGAGCTCCATCGTGAAGGGAGACCGCTTGAAGTTTGAGTGTTCTTTGGCTACGAAAGTTTCTCTTCCACTAGTTTTGTTACAAAAGTTGTTTGAGACCTTTGTCGAAAGAGTTTCGGTGCTTGTTGGAACTGCAGTTGAGTAGTTCCTTGCTCTGGATTGGTCATAACTTACAATTTCATTTAGGATGTTGGTAACGACAAGGGTCTTTTTAACTTATCCACTGTGATCAAGGCGCTTTGTGATATTCCTGGCTTCCACCCCGAAGTACACGCTTCTGAGGAGTTGATTCTGTCTTTCAGAAATTATTGGCTCGTTGTCACTGCATTCGTTTTTGCTCCTCGCGCAGCTTGGCAGAAAGAATGGATTCCGATCGTCACATCCATCGCTTCAAAGACTCCAACCTTAGCTCTGGGTGCAAAGCATAGAAGCTTGGAAATTGACTTGGTTGCAAACAGTGTTTTGCGATTGAAGGTCCCAGATCAAGTACGTACATTTCAAATACTCATAGGCGAGCAGGTCTAAAAATTTCGAACAGGTATACCACAAAGTCAAATCTTGTCTCGTTGGATCACTCTATTCTCGAGCAAGTGAGACCAAATCCGTGAGCAACGCCATTGCAACCTTCCTTCTCTCCGTATTCCAAATCGAATTGTTCCGCGTTGGAAAGGGATCATTCTCCTTCTTTTTGGACTACATCAAAGACGAACGCTATTACGAGACTGACGTGTTCCCACTTCTCCAAGCTATCGGCGAAGAAGTCCTGTTCGCGTACACCAAAGGCAAATCAATTGGAAAGAGCTCGATCCAATCCAGCTTCAAAGCTTTGTTGAGATGTGGATCACACCGTTTAGTGAAAGTCAGACATTTCGCGTCAACGTGCAGTGTGAGATTGTTGAACGCTGTTCCAGCTTTGTTATGGGACAAGACGTTGGTTTGTTACATGCTGGATGTGGTGTTGTATTTGGACTCCAAGAGGCTTGTGTTGGATGACCGTTTGGCTGTGTTGAAGGGAAAACTTGGATTCGAGCTTCATTTCGTGGATGAAATCGAGCAAGCGCAAGCAGCGAAGGAGTATCGCGCTCTTTGTGCGAATTTGTTGAATCTTGCGCTTGGATACTCTTTGAGTGAGACTACGTTGACTATGCAGGTTCGTTGTTCTATTTGACTCGTTGAATGCGTCATCTTAACAGATAACGGCTGTGTAGGGCTACTTGTTGGACCTCCAAATCAACTACCCAGATTTGCTTGGTGAGAGATCCGACGTTATCGCGTTGCTCAGTCAGTTCTGCTCAAGAGAAGAAGTCGCGAACGACGTTATCAAGTCATTGAACGCTCGTGCAAAGTATATTGGAGAAGTCAGAGGAGTCAGCAAAGTCTTGTCACAGCTCAAATCATCTCAAACTCCAGCTGATATCTTCAAGGAGGAAATCAAGAGTGTTCCCACCAACAAAGGAGTAGCAACTTTCATCAAGGAGTTGAATCCCGTCCTTCAAAGATGCGCAGCGTATATTGTATCTGAAGCGAAAGTTGATGAGGAGCTTCTGCGTCTCGTGTGCTGGACTCCTATCACTGTGTTCAATCTTTCCTCGATTGAAACTGCACTCCCAGTGTGGAACTACATCATGTCTGCTCGTCCAGACCTCAACTCTCGCATTTTGTATGAGTTGGTCTCTGTTTGGGAATCCACCATTTACCAGAAGAAGGGACTCTATGAAGTTGATTACAGGTTAGCCTCCAGTTTAATGGCGATTACGTACTTACTCCTAAGTGTCTAGCTCTGCTGATCCGTTCATGAACAAAATGACGTACACGCCTTCAAAGAAGCCTGAAGCGTCTCATGAGTCGCTCTTGGTCCACTGTAGATGGATTCAGTTCCTCACCAGCAGATTCAAGTCGACTTTGTGGTACAAAAAGGAGCACGTGAAGATCTTTGCCAAGTTTATTCAGATTGCTGTGGGTAATTTGAATCTCGTCAAGTACGTCTTCTCCCTTTTGCAATATGCATACTAATGTCCTCTCAGGTTGACGCCAGCTCTTCGTAAAACCGTGTTTTGCTTCTTGGAGCTGGCTATTCTTGTTGCCAACGAGCTTGACTCGCAGAGTGACTCTCTGTGGCTCTTCTCGCTCGAGAGTTTGTTCAAGTTGGCGTTCAAGTGGTACAGCTTGACTCCGATGTAAGATTCTTACACAATAGATGGTAAAGACTTACGTATATTTCAGGTGGAGTAACTATCAAGACGGGGAATACAAAACCATGGTTGCTGTTCGCGCTGCGTTCCAGGCTATCAATGTCGAGAAAGCCAATACTCTTTTCTCTACTTTGCCTGATCGAGTCTTTTCTCACTTTAAGCCAATGAAGAGAGGTGCGTTGCCTTCTTTTGGTGGTTTACTTACTTTATTTTTAAGACCTCTCGGATGTCAAATCGTTGGTTCTCTTGCTTTTGGATAACGAACTTGCTCGCTTTGCTTTATGGGGTGTT